CGAGCCCTCCACCCCTCTCTCTCTCTCTCTCTCTCTCTCTCTCTCTCGGCGCCCTCCCTGACCACGAAAAATGGGATACCGGACAGATAGAATCGTGGCGCTTAGAACGATCCCTCTCCCTCTCTCTCTCTTTCTCTCTCTCTTACACTCTTTCTGCCTCTCCGGCGTGTCGTGGCTCGGTTAATTAAGCCGCGAAGAAAAGTTCGAGGCCGGGACTTTACCTCTAAACACGATTCCGCGCGGTTGAACGCTCCTGCTGATACACAACTGCGGCTATTCAGTAGACAATGGCTGTCGAAAAGTCGATGACAATCAATCGGACTACCGTTGATCCCCTTCGATAACTTTGTGGTCGCTGTTAGGAGACAATTCAGTATGTAATCTTGCAATTCGATCGTTGAAAGCAGAAAGGGTTAATTTCCGGATTAAGAGCAGTCTTGCAGATATTCGAGTGAACGATTCTTATTCGTTCTGCTGTTTACGGAGAAACCGATGAAGATACACCTGTACAACTTCTATACGAAACGAAATGAAGGTTAAGCTTGAGAACGGCGGTATCGAATCAACCGAGGAAAAGATTGGCTTACACCACTTTTGCTTTAAACTTATGCTTTTCCAATTAGCCTTCTTTTTTTATCTATTATCGAGGAAGATTATAGCTCCACCGATGTCACAAAAATTGGAAACTCGAGTAAGACTTTTCCTAGCACAAGATGTCATAATCTACTGACTACTCAGTATAAAGTGTCAATTGATGCCAAACGATTTATTCGTTTAACATTTGGATTATGCTAACAAGCTGTCGATAGCTAGTGCAATCGTTCAATGATATTCTTGAGAGATTGAAGACCTCCCTGTACCTCAAAAATGGAGAGAACTCGAGCAAGACTGTTCCCAGAGTTCAAAAATAAAGGACTGTAGCACCTAGTCTACCAGAAGATGGCCTAATTTGCTCACTGGTTAGTACAAAGATTAGACTCGTTATACCGCTTTAGAGTCACTTTAATTAGCCATTTCAAGCAGCGATCTCCTTCAGTGTCGTTCATGAGAGATCGAAACTCTTCTTGTGCGAGAAAATTCATTCATTCTGCTTTGTAGCCACTTTAATCAACCGTAATTAGTCACTATCGTTGTTCGGTGCTGTTCTTGAAAGATCGATGCTCTTCCCGTACAAGAGAATCCATTCATTCGGCTTTAGAGTCACTTTAATCAGCGATGGATAGTCAGCGTAGTTGTTCGATACTATTCTTGAGGCAGTGCTATTCGTTCTACTTCAGTCGTTTAAGACTCTTTCGATCAATGTCTGTCAAAACGTTTTTCACAAGTCGAAACACCAAGTTAACAGAAAGCTTGTTTTGTTTGTGTATTGCCGTGTCGATTGATCAGCTGGACAACAACGATTTTGTTTCACTGATGTTCAATTAGAACGCTGCTTGAGCACTTAGTATCGCGGAGCAACGTTCGCATAAGAATTGTTTTACGGGGAGGAGATACCGATTCGTTCCGCTTAAGCCGAGAAAACGCGCGCGAAGCGGCATTTAATGCTCTCGGATACGGTGATACACTGCTTATTGCCGACAGCTCCGTGGAATTTTGAGCAGCCGCGACTATGGCCGCAGCGACACACCCCCGCAAGTTTTATTTCGACGATACACCCTCTGATTGCGCGGCTAATGGCGAATAAATCTCGATGAACGTCGGGACGAATGAACGACGCCAGTAAGTTTACTAGTTTAGTATCGATGATAGAAGGCATTGATCGACTCGCTTGATTGTCACTCCTTTCCTTTGGTATGCTTAAACAATACTAATATTAATAAAAAAAAATATATCGATTTCTATAACAGATTATTACGCGTGTTAATACGCATCTCTGTACTTTTGCCACATTTGCCCTCCTCGCCAGTGTTAAATTCTCTGTGGAAATGAAAAACAGAAAAGCACCAATTGCAAGAAACAAGATCCGGATAAAAGTTGCAATCACTCTTTCGTATAATTTGGACGAGCTGAAACTAATTTGATGTGCTTAAATTCTGTTGGTTTGCCAGCTGTTTTAAACTATACCCGGTCATCTGCGGATTTTTATGCAAGATAAAATGCGTCAATTGCAAGATATAAAGACTAAATAGAAAGTTATCTCTTCTTTTAACATATCTGCGGGGGTTTTATGCATTTATGACAAAATAAATGACATCGCAGTCAGCCGATGGCCCACAAACGCAAGTCCAAAAATTGTCTTGGATCGAGAAAAGCAAAATAAAAGATATCGATGATTAATGAATGATTCGCAGAAAGTCGATCGAGGACGTTTCCGCGAGCGGTTCGGACGCAAGAGCACGATGGGAACGCTCGCTCGTATTTTTCAGAGGAACGAGAATTTAGTTAGCCGGTAGACCGAGAGCGATTTCAAAATTCCGATCGGTCGCGGCGAGGGTGCGCGCGGTCTGAAGCCGGAGGGAGCGGGCGGACGGGGAGGAACCAGCGTGGAAAACAGGGTGTGGCGCGTGAGAGCTGGCTCACCTGAAACAACACAACGTTTTCAGATCGCTGATCCCATAAGCGTCCACGTTTGATCCCTCTGTTGTTTTGCGGACGCATTCGCTCGCCTCCCGGTTAATTCGCGAAAAGCTGTAACCGCATTCTTCGACTCGAGCAGAAAACCATCGTCGTCTCCGCCTCGCCTTCGAATCCTCCGGCCGTTCACGAGAAAATACCATCGGAATTACCATCCTTTTGCTATAAAATCCTTCGCGGAAACTCCAGTTTGCAAAATTGATCAGATTCGCTTGTTGGGGACTTCGTTCGAAATTAAGGTTTACGCTAAATATTTATAAAAATTGAGCCGTTCACGAGTTCGATCATTTTTTTCGTGTATTATCGACTATACGTGCACCCTCTTTTCCACAGAAAATCCAATGCAGGTCGAATGCGCTTCGGATTAAATTGAAATTAAATTCGCGTTGAGCTACTTTCGCGGCGAGCACCTGGAATATTTTGTTAAATGCAAATCGTTCTGTTTATGGAATACGAGAAGAAGTTATTGTTAGCTAAGAAAATTAACAGATGCTTTGAATGTTGCGCAATCTAATTTAATGTTTACGTGCACAAAATATGAGATATTGTCGTCTGTAACCCTATGCAAGCATCCATTTTCACAAGTCTTCGATGGAAATTAATATGAGAGGAATATTTTTGTATTTTACAAATTCGCAACTGCTTGAAATGCGTAAAACTTTATGCCGTAGTTGTCATTAATTATTAGCGAATAGACCAACAAAGTAGCAATCACCTGCGACAATTTTCCACGGCGAAGTTGTCATCAATAGACTGCGGATCTTTACGCAAAATTGGAATCGATTGCAAGGAACAGAAACAAAATAGAAAACTTTCTTCTATTAATAATTGAGCGACTTAAAAACATAATGGCGTAAGACCCATTTTCCTCATTGAGAGGAAAAAAGAGTACTATTGCTTGTTAACACATGTATTGTTTACTAATCAAATTTATCGTTAAGATAATTCAGAGCTAAGTCAGTGTATAATAACTTTATAATTTATTTCACTTATATTTTAACACTTTGACATGGATGGATTAAATCTCTCACTCACGCCATTATGATTCTAACCTACTCAATAATAGTGGTTAATAAATAATCTACTGTTTCTCCTGTTACACATTTCACCGACACATCCTGATTGTAAATGCATAAAATCGGCAGTCCAATCATTAGTCATGCTTCTGCCGTTTGAAGAAGACAGGTTTAAGTTTTAAAGGATCGCGAAGCAGCAAATCCGAGGTCGATTGTTCGGGCCCTTTGCCGTCCCTAATTAAAAGAAAAGAGTTCCGCGCCCCCCAATGGTAATACTCGCCGCGGCAGCGAGTTATAACGCGGTTATTTTTTTCAATTGCGCTCTTTAGCTGGTGGCGGCGGAGAGAATTTTTGCAGAGGGGGCGAGAAGAAAGGCGACGGTCCGGGGTGGGACTCGTCAAGTCATGCAGAATAGTAGAGATATATCGCGGCGTAATATGCAAAGCGGATCGGATGTACCCGGCGGGGGGCGAAAGCGGGAGCCAAGGGGTGATTAGCGGGACAAAAGCTGGCGCCGCTACAAGTGGAACCAAATTGGTAGAAAATTGATAATCAACCGCCAATATCAACCTCCATTGGGAGAGAGAGCCCGGTGTGCGGTGGGTTCGTGGCACACAGCTCTCCGGGAGAGGGCAGAGGATTACGTGGAAACACGCGCGAAATATTTGTCCGGGGAATATAAAAAGCGGATCCGAACGACGCCCGATAACCTATCGATACCTATCGATACCTTCTCCAACAAATATGGCCGTTTATGTGTGTACGCGTCCGTATCTGCACGCGTACTTCGCTGGAAATCGAGCAGTTGCGTGTCTCTTGAAATTCAATTAAATCTCCACCGATAACGGTAATTGTGGTCCTAAATAATTGACCCTTTCGCTCCGACATGTCGCATGCACGTATCCTTCAGTTTTAACAATGCACCCGCGCCGAATGTTTTCAACAGCTTGGTAATGTTTAGCGCAATTTCGTTGTTACTGTGGATTTACCAAAATCAAAGTCGTCGTTCGCGCACTCGGATGTTAGACGTAACAAATGTTTTTTACATCGTTTCATATTTTACTCGAAGAGAAAGAAAACATTTTTTCTTGTATCGAATTTGTTCGGAAAAGCTCTTCATTACAAGCTGGCCATAGATAGATCGAATAAAATGAGTAGAGTAGAAAAATGGTGAATTTGCAAACCATTCCTCTTTAACCGAGCTTGTTCTAATCGTCCACAAATCATGCCTCGCCTTTCCATAAACAGCGTAAAACATGTCGGAAATTATAACGAGATGGAGATGAGGCTAAAAGAAAGTTTACAGACCGGAGAACGCGATCGCGTCGAATCGTCGGGGCGAGAGGGTTAGCCGCGGTCTCGAGACGCGTTTCACAAGCAATTTCTGGAGACATTTACATTGTATTTCAGGCTGGAACGTAGGAAAGGGAGCCGTGGAAGCTGGTGAATAATCGACGAGCCGGCGGGAAGAAAAATTGAGCGACGAAGAAACGGGATCAAACGCGTCGAGTGTAAAAACAGCTTTGGGTAAGGAGCGGAGCCGTCGGCCAACCCCACTGTGAATGGAACACGTGTACGGTGTCGCGTCTATCGGCAAAGTTCATCGTTACAGAGCGAAAAAGACAGAAGGAAGAGCAAGGAGTAAAGCAGCGGGAAGGAGAGAGGAGGACACTCTGAAAGAGTTTCCCAGAATGTGAGCCGTGACAGGGCCATGGTGGCGAGTGCGTAATCGAAGGAATCGTAGAACACTTTTCTCATGCAAATGCGGCCGATGCGGGCCCCGACGAAGGGACAACGAACTTCTTCCTTGGCCCGGCTGAAACTTCGAACTTCGGTCCTTTTAAATTTAAATGATCTCTCCCGACGCTGCCGACGCGCGTTCCTTCTTCCTCGCCGGCCGATAGCACGATAATAAAACGGGCCAGAGGACAACGGCCAGACGACGAATAATTTTAGAACGATTTCCGGATGCCGAGGATCGGCGAAACTCGGAAACAAATACACGGTGGCGCGCGAAACAGTGACTTGTTCTTTCCGATCCCGGATGCAAGGTTTAACGGAGGGTGCATAGAATGACGGGGAAGTAAAGAGCCGCGTTTTATTTGCTGCTGTTAACGTGCTGCTTTACCCGCATTCATAGCTGGGAAGATCGGTGATGTTTGAAAAAAGTCACTTCCTTTAAAAAGCATTTGATATTTTCGAACTTAACAGTAAGATTTTGATAATATTAGGTCTACCGGAAAGTTCTGTCTGACAATGTCATTGCAAATTTCGATAGGTATGCACACGTTCATTTGAGACATATATTTTTGAAACATGTTGCTCACAAATTGCCGTCACGCTGGCAAGAGGTCATAAGTAACGACGGAGATTATATTGTACAATAAATATTACTAAATTTATGAAAAATCTATTATTTNGAAACGGGATCAAACGCGTCGAGTGTAAAAACAGCTTTGGGTAAGGAGCGGAGCCGTCGGCCAACCCCACTGTGAATGGAACACGTGTACGGTGTCGCGTCTATCGGCAAAGTTCATCGTTACAGAGCGAAAAAGACAGAAGGAAGAGCAAGGAGTAAAGCAGCGGGAAGGAGAGAGGAGGACACTCTGAAAGAGTTTCCCAGAATGTGAGCCGTGACAGGGCCATGGTGGCGAGTGCGTAATCGAAGGAATCGTAGAACACTTTTCTCATGCAAATGCGGCCGATGCGGGCCCCGACGAAGGGACAACGAACTTCTTCCTTGGCCCGGCTGAAACTTCGAACTTCGGTCCTTTTAAATTTAAATGATCTCTCCCGACGCTGCCGACGCGCGTTCCTTCTTCCTCGCCGGCCGATAGCACGATAATAAAACGGGCCAGAGGACAACGGCCAGACGACGAATAATTTTAGAACGATTTCCGGATGCCGAGGATCGGCGAAACTCGGAAACAAATACACGGTGGCGCGCGAAACAGTGACTTGTTCTTTCCGATCCCGGATGCAAGGTTTAACGGAGGGTGCATAGAATGACGGGGAAGTAAAGAGCCGCGTTTTATTTGCTGCTGTTAACGTGCTGCTTTACCCGCATTCATAGCTGGGAAGATCGGTGATGTTTGAAAAAAGTCACTTCCTTTAAAAAGCATTTGATATTTTCGAACTTAACAGTAAGATTTTGATAATATTAGGTCTACCGGAAAGTTCTGTCTGACAATGTCATTGCAAATTTCGATAGGTATGCACACGTTCATTTGAGACATATATTTTTGAAACATGTTGCTCACAAATTGCCGTCACGCTGGCAAGAGGTCATAAGTAACGACGGAGATTATATTGTACAATAAATATTACTAAATTTATGAAAAATCTATTATTTCCTTTCATTTCTTAAACGGACAGAACTTTCCGGTAGACCTAATAATTATACAACGGGAATGTTTAGGATTTCAAAGAGGTACTATTTCAAATATATGACAAGATCTTTGACAATTAAATTTGTGGAAAAGGTATTAACACGTCTTTGTCGCTAGATAAATGGAAAATAAAAAATCTGTCGGGAAATATTTACGCGCCACTGCACGTACGAGGTGTCCTATAAATTCCTATTTAATACCGCTTTAAGAATCACAAATTGATAATTGGACATTTTTTAGTAAATTGCTCAGTAAGTAAGACGGTAAGTTTCATCACAACGCAGATTTACTTCTAAAAACTGCAATTTTCAATATCTAAAACCTCGTCAAGATTGAGTGACTCCAAAAGTGGCGTACTTAAGCATTATTTGAAAAATTGAATCATACGCTTCTTGTTCACATTCGAAACTATATAAAAGAATTTTCACTCGTGTACATTGTTGAAAATTTATAAGATCTGGGCATAAGAAAATATTTTTCTACAGAAATATCCTATCGCAAATTACGAAATAAATAACTAGATCGCTATTATTAGAATAACTCCCAGCTACAGACTACTAAATCGCAGTTAGAATCGAACAGTTCATTAGGAAATCTCGCATCATAGCTCTGAGATGTTGGAAATGTATAGCTGAACGGCCGGGGCAAGCAACGTGTTAATTAGAATATCAGTCGGGACACCCAGTACACTTGTTCAGGAACGCTTCCGCGTGCGGCGGGTAAATTTTGCAGAGATCGTAAAAGAGCGAGCGAGCGTGCGTCCGCCTCGGTGATTATTAAAACGAATAAAATGTTCGGGCTGTACGTAATAATAAGCGGCCACGCGCGAATATACCACGCGGCGATAATTACGAGGCCGTGGCGGGATCGCGCAGCCAGTGCTACCCGGTAATGTTAAATATATCAAAAATTATCGTTTCGCCGCTCGCGAGCCAGTAGACCTCCGGACCAGATCCAATGACCAGAAAAATATTTGACTATAACGCAGCGTGGTCACCGGTGCAGCTGGATACCGCGGTCGCATTTGAAATTCGAATTATTATAATCGCGGCGGCGGCGCACGATTAAAAACGAGGAAGCCGGGGGGAAGGGGGTGGAGAACAAGCAACCCCTACGCTCCGCTCGATGATATAATAATTATGAAAGAGTTACATGCTGCGATGCGTCTACGAGGCGAGCTCGTTAATTCGAAAATTTCATGCGCATTCGATTAACTATTGCTGCTCGCACATCGTCCCTCATCTCGCTCTATCGATTCAAAGGAAAGACGATTGATATCTCATCGGTAGATCGGATCTCTACCGGTGCGCATCTTTATGGGAGATAAAAATTGTCTGTATCAGTTGCAAAACACAGCAGCTGCAGTCATATATTCTCTTAATAATTTTACTGAAAATAATGAAACAGTGTCTTTAAATTTTTTTAATGTTTTTACTGTTTCACATGTGACTCAAGCAAACTGAGATAGTGCTATATATTAAATGTATAAAATAATAATTAAATATATATTAAATGTGTAAAATCTTGCTTGATTTTCGTACCTTTTCATGCTACACTTTCGCTGAATCAATTGTCTCTTCTTTATAATTTTATATTTAAAACCGTACGAGATTTTATCGTGGATTAATCGTTTCATATATCAAACTTCCTTTGCACGTTTCTGAGTCTAATTTGTTAAGACCGACGTTGGTCCTCTTCTTATACCTAAGACAAATAACTAATAATTTCAATATGCCGCTAGAAAATTAATACTTAGATGGAATCATTGTAATTCTGCATAAAAATGAAAGAAATGTAGCACTCAGGTTGGGTGAAATATGCAACGGAAGGAAAAGGAGAAAAAGTGAATACGCAGCTTGTAAGGAATAATTTTTACATTAAATTGTTGCTTGAAACGCACGCGACCGAATGTCGAAATTATCGTAACATGCCATTCTTTGTGCAATATAAGCTTTTAAGTATACATAATGTTACTGTGTTATGTACGACTCGATGCAATCACAAAAGAATAAATTTTCAATTATTTTCCCAGTTATACCCCTCCCCCCAGTCTCACAAAAATAATGCGAAAGTACAGTACAAAAGATAAATATCTAAAAGAATATACAAAGTATTAATTATAAAATAACAAACAGAATCTATTCCTATTCATTTCCTAAACTCTGAATCTACCGAACTCTAAAAATATCAACGTATATCATAACGATGAAAAGATTATATTTATTTAGACATCTCGTCTATCAATCATTTTCTTTGAATGAATTTCTGTAATTTCGACAAACTTTGAAACAAAAACTGTGAAACCATGGTAGATTTAGTGTTAACACTACAACTACGAAACAAGTGAAAATGATTTCTTTAAAATTCCTGATACTATAAAAATGTTTTTGTCAGAAATTTGTATATGAAAAAACTTCTTCGTTCAAGAATATATTACAATAAAAATCATAGAAAATTTAAATAAATCCAAACCTGTCATTATTATAAAACAGTATCGGTAGTTCTAGTGTTAACTATCAGCAAAAAAAGCTCATAAAATCTTTTGTGCATAACTGAATTAATAATAATAATTTCGACCTAACACAGCATTTTCTCTATAGCATCGCGTTTCTTCCGCGGCCACCGAGCACCATCCAGTCACCGGCCAATGGAATCACAAACAAACTAGCTTCCGCTGCTCTGTAAGGTCTCGCTGCATCTCACAGGCCACTTTATTACCGGGGAACCACTGTGGCCGCAATATGGAGCGAGTTTCCCAGGCTGGCGCGAACCACGCCAAAGATTTCAGTTGACAGAGGCCGCCGGCATTAAAAGCAGATTCTTTTTAATGGCGGCGTGTGCCGGGAATCGCGATTCGCGGGAAGAAAGAGCGGGTGGATGGTGCAGGAAGGAAGAGGCGGTCCCGCATCCATCCGCGGTGACGCTCGAATTCGTCCGTGCACAGAGAACGAGAGTGACAAGGTAGAAGGGGCGAGTTATTAAAATGTAAATACGAATCGACAATCTGTAACGCGGCGCGCCGCGTTAAGCACGTGTGCGCTGCCGTGTAGATAAACGTGTCGCGAATATTCGCGAGCAGC